GCTAAAAGAAATTCGCCCGTATTGCGACACATTGCTACTTCCATTGCTACTTCCTTTGTTCAAACTTTCAATTTACTTCTCGCGTACAAAGTCTGTCTTTTTCATGATTTTCCTAACAATGATAAATAGTCGCACTTTAGATTACATCGAATCTAGAATATATTTAAAAAGTTAATATATTTTAATAAAAATGAGTGCGGTTTAAATTAAATTTCTGAAAATAAGTAATGAAATAGGTATTTAAATCAATAGTAATATTTTTATTTCCAAAAAATTTTCAAAAAATAAAAATATTTTAGAATTGCGACATATATAATTAGGTAAGATCTTAATCTTAAAATTAATAAATTCAATAAATCATTTCATTCGTAACTAAGACCTGTTTATTTACAGATTCGAAAACGTAGCAATCGAACGATGACAATAGAAAGGATTGCGGTACATACAATTAAAATACAATTAAAATACAATTAAAATAATTTAGTTTATATACACGTTGTCGTTAATAGAGTTTATTGTTAATAGAGTTTTCACATTATTATTTATGGTTATTGTGATATTATCACATGCCTCAATACTTGAAGGATGAGATATTCGCTTGGAAGTAGGAATTCCAAGATCGATTCCTGGCTGAGATAATATTTTTCACAATAATTTCTTGCAGATTTCTAATTGTTATTAAGATTATTATTGGGGAATTAGATATATATTTGATTGCTATATTTTCGGATTTGTAAGTAATGATCTAATTATGAACAAAATTCTAGAAATTTTAGAAATTGAATTTATTGATTTATTGAATTTATATGTGTAAAAACATTTTATTATATTTTTATTGATGAAAAAGATTTATTACAAATTCATTTATGCAAAATATTAAAATAATTATTTAAATTAATTATTTAAATATAATGTTTTTAATTTCGGCATATCAATTTTCAACATTTTGCATATTTTTCTTAATTATTCACAAAACTGATATTTCAAAATGATTATTTGGAAATAAAATCTCTTTAGGATAATATATATTGAACCTTTTTAATTTACTGTATTATTTTCGGGATATTGCGTATCCACGTCAAAGTTATTATCACAGCTGTGTCAACGTACAACATTTCAAGAATGTTGCGTGAAAAGATCGTCTTACGGAGAAATTATTGGCTATGCCAGAGGGTGACTCTCGTCTTCAAGTTGCACTCTTTCACACGTTTATTAGAGTCAAGAATTTACCTAGTGGAACAGTACTTGTCCCTCAGTATTTTTCCCCAGTTTTTCTTTACTCTTTTTTATATTGCCATGATATATACGTGTTGTTCAACGTCTGCAATTATGAATCAATTTTGTATAATATTTATAATGTAGTTATACTAGGTTCAATGAATACTTATATTAATATTTTTTTATTAAAAAGAGAATACAACTAAAGTCTTAAAATAAGAAATAAAAATCATGTTTTATATAATTTTTATACATTTGCTTATATTATTTTCATTAACAAAGAATGAATTTAACAAAGAATTACATAAAAAATTTTTGTATGTACTCACATACTCTTGTATTACATACATGTTTATTTTTGTAATTATTGATATACATTATTGATATACATAAAACTATAATATACATAAAATTATATATTGTACAAAAATTACATAACTGTATATTATACAATTTATTATATAATCGGCTGCAATTTTATTTTGGAATTGACATTAAATCATGCGTTTCTAAAACTGCACCGAATTTCGCTAGTGGTGAAAATCTTACGAATGAAAAACCTACTGTATATTACTTCGCCTCAACGAAACGCCGCTATCAGACTAACTGACAACAAGGAAAAGAACTGTGAAGCCACCGTCGTTCTGTTGAAGACGGATGAATGGAAACGAAGTGTCTGCCTCGCTACTAACGGAAAGCTGAAAAATAACGTAACACTTAGCGGATGAACAAGAGAAACGTATGAGGTTCGTAGTAATGAAACCGAAGAGGAGTGAAGGCTAGTGAAAAGAAAAGAGAGGAAAAAAAAATTTTATTTCTCGTCGGCACGTTTGTCAAATGTAAAGAAAAAACACATGAAAAGAGGATATGAGATCGTAATCTGCAGAGTTTGACGGAAATGAACAGAAAATGAGGGACATGGAAAAATGTAAAGAGAAAGCGACGGAAAATGTGTACGAGATTGAAAGCAGCTGATTCTTTCGTTCTTTCCGATTTTTTTTTTGAGTATTGTTAATAGAAGGAACATGAATATCATTTAAATCCTCCTAAATAAAAAGAATCAAAAATAATAATTTGAAAAGTACCAATTAAAATTCGATGCACGTTAAAAAAATGAAAAATGAAAGGATAAAGCGACAGAGATATGACAAAAGAATATAGATAAAGAATCAGTGAAAAAAAGATAAAGAAAAGAAAATGAAAGATCATCAAAAAGAAAGAAGACAAATAATCTAAAATTATGATCTGAGATGAAAATATAAGAGAAAGAGGTGCAGCTGATGATTGATACTAGTGGTGTAAATGGAATAATGAAAATATGAGAAAATCGAACGAAAAGAACCCTGAAGAGAATGAAACTGGGCTCGATGGTAACACGCGAACGCGCAAATAGAGTAAGTAACGAAAGGTAAATAGAATGAGAAAGGATTGTTCATCGCGATGAGAAACGGAAAATGAGAAGAGATAATAGGATTGAATTTAATTAAATAAATCCTTCGCGATATTATCATACGAGAACTATCAAAGTAATAAGAGCTGTTCTTATTTTATTTATCATTTTATCATTTTCATTCATGCGCATGCGAGTCAGGCGGTTAAACTAATAATGGCTGAATTTTTCTTAGCTGAGATAACTTGGATGGAGTTGCATAAGTGTCTCTCTTGAGTTTTTTTAGATCATGATGACAATGTAATATAAAAGAGTCAAGGTTAGCTAAGTGAAGGATAGACTTAATCGACTATAAGCCGGAATAAGTCTAGAACAAGCTCGATTACGGTGGAGAACGATGGATTACACGAGAGAATAGCAAAGTAAACTGAAATAAACCAGATTGACTTGATATTAAAATATATAAATGGTGAACAGGGTAAATGGGAAAGATTTGTGCTGAATTGATCGTATGAAATAAAAGCGAAAGGAGTTCCTTATCAAGAGAGAAGTGCAAAGAGTTTAACATTCCACTAGAGCAGATTTACATGGAGAATCATAACGCGGCAACGAGGACGAAGGAATGAATGAATGAATCCAAAAATACGAGGAAACACAACAATATGATAAATACGAAGGTTCGCGTGAAAGGCGAGAAGTAGACACGTTGGCTCGTGGTAACTTTTGTCACTCTCTCTCTCTTTTTCTCCCTCTCCCTCTTTGTCTCTTTTTCTCTCTCCATCCCTCTTTCTGCCCCTCTTCCTTTTCCTCTCATTAACAGAGCAGGCGAAGCTGAAAGCCAGCGTTTCTCAAAGCGCGCAAGTAGGCTAAAGTGGAAATACGGGGGCAGCGACAGTGGTGGCGGATCGAGTGGTGAAGAAGGGGGCGGATATGGCGATGGGCGCGAAAGGGGTAGCAGTGGGAAACCGTGACGTCATCGTTGAGGGGTTGCCCGGGCAACGGGAAATGTTCGCCGCATCAGGACGCCGACGCGCGTCGCCACCGCCGCCACCGCCGCCACCGCCGCCGTCGCCGCCGCCGCCGCCGCCGCCGCCGCCGCCGCCGTAAAAATCAATTTAGACCTTGGCTAGGTGACCGCTCCGCGTTCGCACGGCGTTGCTGCGACGCGGTCGCTCCGCTCTCTCTGGCGAGGCGACGAGAGCCACGCTTCTCTGGAGGTGCCGGG